TTTTAACCAGGCTGAGGCAAAGGCAGAGCTGCCTAAAGCAGCCCCCGCCCCGCGCGCCCTGCCCGTAGACCCCGAAACGCCCCGCGGCTCCCCCGGGCCCCGCGTCGCCCCGCACGCGGGTCGGTTCTTTGTGCGGGGCCGCGCGGTTCGGCGCGGTGCGGTGGCTCTGGTGCCGCGGTGGGTTTCGCGGGCTCGCTTCGTTTGTATCTGCTGTTATACGAGTTGATGTGAGTTATATGGTAAATAACGTTTCTTTTTGTTTTCCCGCAGGAAGTAACGGCCAGTAGCCGCCACTATGTTGATCGATTATTTGACCTCGATCCCCAGAAAGTCCTTCAAGGCGTCATGTAAGTCACCTGAAACTCATTTGAGCTGTTGTTGCACCCAGGCCAGGTTTGCTTTAATCCGGGTAGCGTGATATGTCAGTGGAAAAGGACCCTTGTGCATCTTTTTAGATAAATCCTGTTAGAAAACTGGTTACCTGGATTTTCAGGCAAACACAACCGTGTTGCTTTAGCCTCCTGTCACTCTGTGGTACGTACAGTTGGTAACCAACCTCCCAGCTGCCAGAGGCGAGGTAAAGCATCCTCTGAGTGCTCACAATTATTTTTGATACTTTTTTTTCCTTCTGGCATCTTCCTTTTGCTCTTTTTCCAGGTCTAATGAGAATCTCTTATTTCCCTGCCAAGTCAGCATACCTGCCTCTTCAGCTATTTCTCTGCTGCCATGCCTGGAGTGTTGATTTTTTTTTATTATTATTTTGATGTATGGCTTCTATCTCATCAAAGGGAATTGTGAGCTGAAAGAAAACGCTTCCACAGAGATTTTTTTAGGCATAACTTCTGTTTCTGTGCATCTGTTGCCTGCCAGTGATAGGAGGCAACGACTGAGCGACTCCAAAGAAAACTGGTAGTGAACACAGAGTAAAGCTGGTGCAAAGACCTAGTCGTTTCCCTGCTGTCCTTGGACAGCGAGAAGCTGCTGGGGTGGGAGCCCCCCGTGTCCCCAGGGACAAGGACGTGTCTCATCCCATGTGTGAGGGGCTGGTCGAGCCCCCTCTTTTCTCCTTGGCAGGTCTTTGAGCTCCAAGTGTTGCTCTCTCCTTCCAGCTCTCGGAGAGCCGAGGAATCCCAACCCTTGGGAATGCTTTCCCTGTCTCTTGAGTAACTCGCATCTTCTGAAGCTGAAGTGAAGAATTTTCCCAGAAACAAAAATCTTAGGAAGTCTCTTTGTCTCGGTTAACATCTGAAATTCTTCCCTCTCATCCTCCACTTTTTTTCTTTTGTTCGATAACTTTTTCCAGCTTGGTTCCTGCTTTCCATTGTAAGAGATTTTATTCTGCTTTGTCTCGTATAATTTTGAAGCTCCTTGTTATGGTCATTTTTATCATGCAACTTTTTCAGATCATCCATTTCATTTACAGACATATCCTCCACTTCAGATCCACTTTTTCTGGGTTCTGTTCTTGCTATCGTAGCAGATGCTGCTACTTGGAAACCTATAGAAGAGTTGCACAAAAGAGGCCTTCCCTTAAACTTGGCCTTTCTAGGGATCTGATAGGATTAGTGCCTCTGCAGAGTACAGGGGAAAAGGAGGAACAAATTAGAGAGCAGATTTGGCTGTTTTGGTGACACCCTGGTGAAGTGAGAAATGCTGAGACTGTATCTTTTGTGGCATTAAGGAAATCCCATGATGGGTTTGTTTTTTTCCTTAATATGGGTGGATGGATGTTGTGTAGTCCAGTTTAGAGTATAACATCTGTTTAATAAAATAAAAATCTACCAGTCCAAGATTCAGGCAGAAAAGGTCTTCCTTTGACTTTAGGGTATCTGAAAAACGTTTTGAACCTGGAATGAACCCATCCTATGTGAGGAGGGGAGAGGGAGTTTAAAGTCCCATCTGAAGTGTCTGTCAGAAGCTTTGCCAAGTGCTCTGCAAAATTCACTGAAAATTTTTGCTTCTTTAGATGTGCTGTTTTCCCTGCATCCTGGCTGAAAATACTGATGACCTAGATTTTTATTTTGATGGCTGGAACTGTATGAATATTGAGGGCCAGAAAATAGGCTGCCTTGAGAGGGTTTGTTCCTGCAGATGGTCTTCAGGTGCAGTAATTCTGTTCTTTACCTAGTGCTAAGGAAACTTGGAAGGGTAAATTGAGTTTAGGGCTTTTATTTTATTGCCTTCTTGTATGTTTTAAGGAAATCCAACTTCTCAGTTAGGTTCTGTAAAGGTAAAACTTGAACTTGAAAATCATGTCAATCCTGTTGCGACTTGAGAAGGCTGAAAGGATCTGAATTACCAAATCTCTTGTTTTTCTTTTCCTTGTCTTCTTCTTTCTCCAGAAATGATTTGTTACCTGCATAGGAGCCTTTTCCTTTTCTCTTCATGGGAAAACTGAGCAACTGTTTCATTTAACTGTTTTTGCTGTACGTAGCTCCACTGATGCTATTTCAAAATCCCAAGTTATCATAGAATCACAGAATGCTGAAGGTTGGAAGGGACCTCTAGAGATCATCTAGTCCAACCCCTGCACACGCAGGGTCACCTAGAGCACGTGGCACAGGGCTGCGTCCAAGCGGGTTTGAAGATCTCCAGAGAAGGAGACTCCACAACCTCTCTGGGCAGCCTGTTCCAGTGCTCTGGCACCCTCACTGTTAAAAAACTTTTCCTTAAGTTCCTGTGGAACTTGTTTCCTCCCTCCCTGTGTTTCCTGTTTCCTCCCTCCCTAGGCTGTGCACGCCTGGACTTCACAGCAGGTTCCCATATCAGGTGTGTGGCTAGGGGATATATTCAGTGCTGCCAGTGCATGGGTTATTTCACATGAGTGTTGTAGGGGATCAAACACTCTGCCCTCCGAGAAGTTTGACCGTTATCGGCAGAACAGCAGAATGGGGAGAACTTGGTGGGTTTCTCCTATAGTGTAAAAGCTTCAGAGCCACCCAGTGCTTTGCAGCATACAGTGTTTTTTGTTAATTCCAGGTGCTGATCTTTAGGCTGTCATTTGCTTTCCATGCTTTTTGAGGCTCGAGGCCACTTTGTTTACGTGCAAGGCTGATACCTATTTTTGTCTGCCCATCTCCTTGTGTGTCAAAAGCTTTTTTAAGGGACTGTTTGTCATGTTCACTGGTAGCCTGGTGTCTTTGAGGAGGTGATCCATCATTTCAGTGTGTAATTCCATCTCGAGGGCTGTTTCTGCAAGGAGCATTCCAGGCAAATCCTGCTTCCTCAGGGTCCCAACTGCTCCTCACGGTGCTGATCCTCACAGTCAGAGGGTGCCAGCTTCCAAGGCTTGCAGTTAGTCAGCATCTCGCTGCACCAGGGATCCCTCTGCTCCTGTTGCTTCTGTCTGTTCTAGATCAGCTTAATCCAGGCAGCTGGAGCTGCCAGATCAGCGTTTTCCAAACTTGGGCTGGCTGCTTTCTTTTTAGGAACACCAAAGACATCCAATAGAAATGCTGCTCCTCACGAAAGAGCCCGTTTTAAAGCACATACTTCCATCTCCCCTTTGAGTGTGCCCACTGGCTGTAGTGGGAATACAGCTATAGATCTGTGCTGTGCATTTAATTCACTTTGTATGTGCTTTCTGTGATTGTGAGTGTTTGAGAGTTAATGTTGATATGAAAAGTGCAATAGTTGGAACACGTGGACCATTTTGCATCTGGCAGCCCCTGCTTTAGGGTCCCTGCAGGCCCAGCTTGACAGCTCTGCAGTGGTAGCACCCAAGCCTCTGGAGATCTTTTAAAATGAACATGATATCTTGGTACAGCCAGGATAGAACTGAGCCATCCCGGGCTTTGGACATCAAGTTATGTATGTGCTAAAAGTTCTCTATAGGGCTGAGGGATCTGTACTTGACTGAGCATGCTCTGTGCTGCCTTTTGGTTTCTGTCTTCAGATGGAAGATACAAGAAGAGTAGTAACAAAACAGAAAAAAAAAAGTTTTCATGTTCAAATAGTAAACTACTTTCCCAGAATTTGTCCCGTATCTCTTTTGTAGTCGGCTGCTTTGAAATTCATTGGGAATGCCCCATACTGGGGGCATTTGTTACGTGTAGTTTTTTCGTTTAGTGTATTCTTGGGTTTGAGAAAACTGTTCCAGACATTTGTTTAGCTGATTGTCTCACAGGATCTTGTGTTTCCCAGCTGTGGCAATGGGGATGAGAGCGTCAGTGCCTGCAGGGAAAGCTGTGTGAAGTGTAAGAGGCAGCTTCATGCAGTGGGAAGAGAAGAAATTCCCATCTCAATTCTGAAGGAGCAACAGGTACCTCCTCTGGATAGTTATGCAGGGACTGCTTCCACCTCCTGTTCTTTGTGCCCTGTCAAACTGCTTTGACTAAATAATGACGTGTTTTCACATTATGCATCCAAAATCTGTGCAATCACATAGTGTCGAAACGGACACTTTGAGAGCTGTGTTTGCTGTAGGAGCCTTTCCTTGTTCATGGAATATTCCCTTGTCTGAGCTTCCAGCAGAAGGACCCTGTGGAAACGGAAGAGCTTTTAGAGGATTGTAGTGCTCTGTATAGTTTTGGTCTCTTCTGCAGCCTCCTAGGGTTGGTACCTTTTAGTAAATACAAAATCTTTCAGGTGCAGTAGGGAGTTTCCAGTTGCAGTTGGCCAAGCAGTGGTGCAGTGTAATAAGTGCTGTTCCTGTGCAGCATCGCTGTGCCGCGGCTTGCCGAGCGAAAACCTTTTCCTTAGGGTGGCAATTCTGCCAGAGGGATTGGAGCAGCTTTGGGTGCCCAAGTGTTTGCTGCTTCCAGCCTTGCAGTTGCCCCTCTGAGCACGTGGCAGTCAGAGGTGGGTTAATTAACAGAATTGTTTTTCAGCGCTTCTTTGCAGGGGGGTCTGAAGCTACTTTACTTTGAAAACCCTGTTTGGGTGTAATTCAGAATTTAATGCATTCGTTTAAGTTGATCCTCTGTGAAAGGGATCAGGCAGAGGAGTGAGAAATAGTTGTTAGGAGAATTGCTGAGATTGGGCCTGATACAAAAGTGCTTCCTAAAATCAGTAATGCCACCAAGTCTGTGATTCTCAATATTCAGAGTCTGATTTTTTTCAAAGCTGCAAATGGATCAGAATCAGCATTAAAAAAAGAAAAAAGTTTGATCACTTTCTTTTCAAAACCAGATCCTTTTCAGCTTGCAGCGTGGAGCTATGTTCTTCTAGGTGACCTCCTTAATGTTTCCAGTAACATTCAGGGCTCTGATTCCCTTTATGTGTGTTTCTCTACTCCACCCTTAAAGCAGTTTCAGTAGGTGTACTGAATTGCTAGTGCTGATCTGATCATTTAAATCCTTTTTTCTTTTAACCTTTGGAAATGGGAAGGTAACAGGGGGACTAGCTGCTTAAAACACTCTCTAAAACATGCTTCAAATACACACGATGCAAAACTTTCAATAACTCTCCCATGTAGAGAGTGGGAGGGTTGATTTGGCTTTGATAAATTCCGGAGTTTGTCCGACTGGCCGCACTGAAGAAGGAAGTTCAGGCTCAGCTATGGGGGCTGGAGGCTGGTGCATCCTCTTGCTTGATGGTTATTTGGAGCTAAGGATCTGAGGCTCTCCTCAGAAATTCATAGCCTAATGTGTAGTGCCAAATAAACAGCTTTTGGGGATCTTCTAGGGACAGTGTGGAAATACTGCCATATCATGGAAAGTTTATGGGAGATGCTACTGAAAACTGGAGGTGCTGGGAAAAATACTTACAGAGGGGACGGAAGGATGATGACCAAAAAGGGTGACATAAATACTTGGGTGTGGGTCATTTGTCTGAAACAGCCGTGATAGAGTCTGTTCTGTAGCATGGGTTCCTTGGAATAGCTGCATCCCAGGAAAAAAAAAAGTGAGAAAAGGAATCCAAAAGCCAAAGACCCCGAGAGCTTCAGCTGTCGACAGAGGTGTCATGGGGAAGAGCAGTGTGTGAACTGGCTGGTTTAAACACCCAGAGAGAGGAGAAGGTTTGAGGGGAGAGGGCTCTTCGTCCTGCTGCGTGCAGAGGCACCGCGATCCACGGAGCGAGGAGGGTCGGGTTAGGGCTGACTCCTGGTGTTCCCTGCGTTCGTTCTGCTCCTGTCATGGGGCATGTGCTGCTTGTCCAACGCACCCACTTCTGCTGTGTGAAAGTTGCTCAAGCTCCGCAACAGCACAGTATCCCTGGCTGCTACTTTGTTTTTCTTTTATCCCTAGAATGGTCTTTCCACTCATTTCTTGAATGGGCTGATTAGAAGCCTCGAAACTTTTCTTCTACGCCCGATGATTAACTTGAAAAATAAACTGATTTATTATTTCTGTGGTCTACCTGAGTTTGGAGCATCTTTTAAACATTTCCTTCACTTGGCGAATAATATTAGAACATCATTAGTAATTTTATTAATACAAATAATTCCTGTTAAAGGGATAAAAACCAACTCCCGTATTGAGCACTCGGGCTGTGCAGCAATCCACATAAGACACTGTCAGTAACAGTGGAGATACTTTAACATGTAGAATTTTCAGTTGTTTCCTGCTGTGCTTTGGTTTTCATCTGCACATTAGAACAGCAGAGTAGGAAGGGAAGGAAGAGGAGACGGGAGCTGTGGGAATCAGGGCTGCAAACCCCCCAGCCGTGCATCAGCTTCCGCTGCCGCCGCCGCTCCGGTGCCGCTCGCTTGTCCGGCGCTGCTGACCCGGCCCGGCTCTGGCTTTGGCGGTGCCTCTGCTCCAGTCCTCACTACCTGAGGGGTTTGCACTGGGCTTTTAAGAACCTTTCTGGAGTCATGCTCTGCCTTGGTCTCTTGCTTGTATTTTTATCGGCCTCTGACAGATAGAGCAGATAAACTCCAGTCTGACAACTCGTTTTTGGGATGCTGCTTCTGTGTATTTAAGCCTCTCATACCCTTTTGTGGCTATGGCTTAGGGAGTCAACGAACTGACTTTAGGCGTCTGAGGCTACTTTTCCTCATGTTCATCCATGTTTGATGCTCTTTTGTGGGGAGCAGCCTCTTAAATATGTTGCCTGTTTTCAAAAGACACAAAATCAGCAAACGCCACGTGGGCCGTTCGTCCCTCTTCTGCGTAATTCCTACTGCTTCCTCATCCAGTCTCCATCTCACTCCGGTGCTGGAACGAGACTTCAGAAAGCTCCTGTGCTTCATGTCGGATTTCTGAGGTTCCTTGTACGGGTGCTCAGCTTGCAGTGCTCAGAGCCGTGGGTGCAAACAGGGGTGCACTGAGGGGCTCCTGAGTCCGCGTTGCTCCTCAAGCACGGGAGGTGCCTGGACGTGCCCGGCGCCTGCGGCCGGCGCCGCCGGCCCCTTTGCATGGGGAGCCCCAAGCTCCAAAGCGGCTTCATGCACTTGGCCAACTTCAGTTTCTGCTCGTGGCGACTCGAGCTGCTTCTGCAGCAGTCGGGGACGTGGCCACGTTCGTTCGCTCGGGGCTTGTCCTTTCAGAGCTCATCCTCATCGGCTGGGAATCATCACAACTTGCTGTCTCTTGTTTGCAAATTGCTGTTTTTCCTGTTGTTTCTTGCTTATCTAGAGAGCTATTTCTGGTGCTTCTAGAAAAAATATACACAGAGAATCAGAAAAAAAACACATCAACTTCGTAAAAAAAAAATTGGTGGATTAGATGGTCTTTAAACTTTTGTCCATTTACATTTGTTTGTTAGCGTACTTCAAAATTTATTTATTTTTTTTACTTAAGCATCCCTATGGTGCTAATACCAAACAAAATCGTTATGTCTTGCCCTTAAAAAGCATTATTTATGCTTTTGTATTTATATTTATCTCAGCAATATAGCTGATTGCTTCCGTGTTACTGTATTCCAAAAGCTTGTTAGAGATGGCAAGCCTGCCTGCTTGTAACCTTTCTCTCCCCTCTATTTAGGGTTTGGAAGAAGAAAATAAATCTTTGTGCATTGCTTGTTTCTAGTAAGCTTCATAACTGTAAGCTGAACAGTCACGGGGTTGAGTAAATAAGACTGTATTCTTACAATTTCTTCAGAAAGCAATAAGCAGTGGGGAAAAAAGCTGACTTAGCACTGCAGGAAACTGTATTTCCAAGTGCTCAGTTAGGATATTTTCTCCATTTTTCATTGTTGGCAGCCTACACATCCTGCTGGAGCGTCTGTAAATTATTTTATTGCATTACTGCAAATGTAGGCATAAATATCAGTTAGCAGATTTTGAATCAGTGCCTTAAGAATAGTAATTCGAGTGATTTCATTAAACTCCTCTGAATTTAATTTGAATCTGCTTTATCACGCCTCAATATATGGGCTGTTACTTATCTGCAGGAAGAGCACACGAGCGTTTTAAGAGCACTTGCTGTGTGAGAGCTTCATGGTTTGTCTCCTGGCTGGAGAGGAAACTGCTCATTCAAGGACTCCACTATAGAGAATGATACACAGACATAGCAGGAACTACGGGCTCAGCTAAGAAATCAGTGATGCTTCTACCTGTGGTTCAAAATAGGGATCCTGACTCATTTTCCTCCTTGGCAACTCTCTTGTCCTCCTGGATCTGAAGTCTCTCCAGCACAAGCTCCTTGTGGGAAGGGATATTTCCAAACAAGGGAGTTATTTCCATGTATACAGTTCACCAGTATACATACAGCTACAGTTCCTGGTAGCCTTAGCATGTGGCCCTTCTTGTGGCCCTACAAGCTTTCTGATTAGAAAAAAACTGCTTTAAAACCACTCCCGAGTAGATGTTTTATGTTGCAACTAGTCTTTCGTTAGAAATAAGTTATTAGGGTGGGATTCGGTTGTCTAAAATGAGTATTTGGGATTTTTTTGAGTTCCCTGTGATACTGCAGCTGATCTCCAGCAGCTGCTCCAAAAAAGCTTGGATCCCCTGCAGGTCCTGTGTCGTATTTCTCTTGGATGCTTCAGGGCAACTGGATCTTATCCCAAGTTTGAGCTTTCAAAGCATTTTCTTCAGTGTAGAAGGAAGCATATTTTTAATGTTACTTCAGCGTTTGTACCTTTTTAGGAGTTAATTTAGAGATGAAGGGAACCCTTGAAAAGCAGACAGCACGTGAAAGAGGTAATGGCGAGCTGCACATGGTTATCAGAAAATACACCAACTAAAGCAAGCACTGCTCTAGTTCTCAAATGATATGAAGAAATCAGGGACTCTGCCAACAATCCTCCTGTTGATACTTGTGCAATTAATAAATTCATCAGGCCGTGTTTTTTTTTTGTTGTTGTTGTTGGTAAAAACGATCTGCCCTCAGAGTGGTCTTGTTCCTTGGATTTATAAAGGTTCTTGCTTGGACCATTTCCGAAAAGTGTCGTCTTGACTTCCTGAAACTGGTCCAAAATGTTAGTTTTCTTCCGGACTACCTAGTTATTCATATGTGTTTAATACAATGGGAATAAAAAATAAATTAAGGAAACGAGGTGTGCTTTTTAGCACGCAGCAGCAGTTTTAGGAGCACCAAGCCTGGCAGCTGTGCACTTCTGCAGGGCTTGGTGGCGTGCAGAACCACTGCTTTCCAAGGAAAGACAGCGATGGCTCTGGGCTCGCTCCCTTTTTGTTTACCCTTACAATAACTCTGAGATAGGATTCGTTTCCCCTCCATTCCTGGGTGTTTGAGATTGAGGCAGGACACTGAAAGCACGAAGGAACCTGGGGTGAAGTGGAGAATGAACCTGTGGTCTCCTGACACTGGAGAAAGTTCCTAATTCCTCCTTCTGTATCTAACAACTCGTCTTTTCCTGCACCCACTAGAATATTGAGTCAATACTTTGTTGTGTGTGCTTGATTTCCAAACCAATGGGATTTTTTGTATTATTATTTCTTTTAGAAATCTAGTGAATATATGGGCATAACGGACCAGACCGCCTGGTTTCCTCCGCAGCGAGACCTCCTCGTGTGTAGCTGCACGCGAGAGCCCTCGGGGTTTTGCTTCCTTGCACAAGCTGGGGTCCAACTGCCTCCCAGAAGCCCTGGGATATTAAAGGTGCTCCGTGGAAACCCCCAGGCAATAACCACTGGTGTCGGTGCAGGGTGACAGGCCCTGTGATAAACCTTCGTGGAAATAGCAAATGCTGTAGATGAAGCCCTCAGTACCTCAGCATAATTTACCAGGGTTTGTTTTTCTTTCTGGATTTACAGAGATATGAAAAATGCTGTAATTGGAAACAACAAACAAAAAGCCAACTTGATTGTTTTGGGAGCAGTTCCAAGGTACGTCCTTTGCTACTCTCCTTTTCACCGATGCGCTACAGGTCTGGAATAACCATCTGTCAATCACTGGCACTTTTCTGTTTTATCTTTGCTTACTGCAAACTTTATTAATGTAACTGAGAGCCTTGAAATATCTGTTAAACACATGTATTGCAGAACAGGCTGTTGAGTAATGCTTTTAATTTGGATTTTCATGGAATTCTCTAAAGTAGCTTTGGTGATTTTTATTAAGCTTTATGAGCCCAGGAATGAAATCTGTTTTCCAACATTGTCAATGTTAACGATGGATGAAAAGTGGTTGTATCTCAGTCCTGTTCTCCAGCCAATTGCCTGGTGAGTTCACAAGTGCAAATGTGTAAGGTTATGTTAAAAGTTTCATTTGAAAATATTAATAAACACCTGAGGTAATTTGGCTTCTCCAGCTGCTTCAGAAGGCAAAAATCATGGATCATACTTTATTGCTGAGTTACTGCTTCAGCAGATGTTAATATTTCCTGGATTCTGGTTCCACTAGTGCAAATTTAACACGTAACTGTAGCCGCTGGATTTGCTCACTAAAGCTTTCATCTCACCCCTCTTCTCTGTTTTTTTCAGCCACAGTTTGCAGCAAGGGAGAAAGGAAAACCTTGACCATTGCTGGTTTTAGCAGCACGGGAGTCCCCTCTGATGCTTTTGCTTAAATGGCAACTTGGCCCCAGATTGTCCTGCCTAAGCGCAGCCTTGTCAAGAAATGCATTTTTTCCTGGGCTGGATCTTCTTTTCATTGGCAGAATGAGCTCTCTGTTGAGAGCTCTCCAATCTCCTAAATTCTCTCGGATTAGCAGGGAACAGGGGAACCCTCTAACTCTGTTGGAGTATCTTCTGTTCTGAGCAAATGTAAGCAGGGCAGGAAGACCTCTGTTCAGACTGGAAGACTGGAGCGAATTTTATGCAAAATTCACAGATCTCTTTTGCGCAGCAGGTCCCGGGGGTTTCCCTTGACTCCCTTTGATCCTTGTGATTCCAATTGGGAAATGCCAGAGGGTCTCTAGCTTCACGACCTTCATGCCACGTTTTTCCTGAACTTTTGCAGGACTCCACGTCCTACATCCTTCCTGCTTTTTGCTGTGCTTGTTCTCTGCCCAGAATCCATTTTTCCCCCCGCTGTTAATACCTTCTGGCTGAGTAAATAATGTGGGGAATTGACAAGGGGGAAGATCTGGACAGGTAAATGGTCTTGCTCAAGTTCCTAGAGTTATCCCCAAAGGCTGCTGTGTGCCCACAGGCTGGGTAGAAGCTGCGTTTAAGGCCACCCAATGAGTTAATAGCTTAAGGTACTGTCGTAGGTGGAAGATTTCACTCTTAACATGTGTCTGGATTGAACACTGCAGGTTGTGAGCTCCGTGGCATGCAGAGGTGGATGTATATAAAACAGTCAAAGAAATGATCATGAAAGTTTGCTTTGATAATTGGGTTTTGCAAATCGCTGCTTTGCAGAAGAGCCTGTGGATTTTTTTGTTGTTGTTATTGCTAGGAAGTGGGCAGTAAAACTTTATGATACCCTGAAAGATATTTGGTGATTTGTAATCCAGTTAATAATTGGGCCTTCCAGGTCGTGAGGTATTTTCTCTTTCTTCTGCTGGGCAGTGGCGGGTAAAGAAGGTGGTGGTTCGTTTGGGCCATGAGTGTGGCTCTGTATCCTGTAGCTACACAGGAGAGCTCTGCCCTATACTGATGTTGTCAAAAGTGAATCAAATTGTTGTTTATCTAATCATTACTGAAAACTTAATGCTTAAAATTATTAAATTTCAGAGCTAGTTCCTCTCTAAGTTCAGTCATTCCCTTACAGAGGATAGAATTTAATTTAAAGTCAAATCATAAACCTAGTCATGCAGGACTGATAACAAAAGCACTAAATCACTCTCTTCGCATCCCAGAAATATCTTCTAATTTCCAGCTAACTGTTGCTCTCCAGAACCCTATGGTAGAAAACACTTACTTGGAGAGGTAATGTAGGTCCACCTTCAGGAACTTCGTACAGTTGTTCCAACCTTTTTCTAACTCATTTATTCAGGATTCTGGTTAACTTCTTCTGTTAAAAACTTCTCTGGGGGCCGTTTGTGACCCATGGGCAGCGCGTGGTGGTTAATCCTCCCCACCATGTGAGCTCTGTGAGGGATGTTCTGAGCTTGTCTGTGGAGCTGCTAACAGCTCGCTGGGTTTTTAGCCCTTTTCTCGGGCTGGGAGCGCGCGGACACGGGTGCACAGGACATTTTGTTCAAGGTTGCTAAACGCAGGGTTATTTGGGCAGTGTTCTTCTGGGATTTGCAAAAAAATAAGACATCTTATTGTTATACGGTTAAGAAAATCAGCAAAGATACGTCTAATAACTGGAAATTTCTATTACATCCCAAAGTCTTTCAGCAAAGAGAAAGGATTTTGTATATAGACCTTCAAAATAAGTAGAGTATCCAAAAGATGGTTTTGGATGTGACATTGACTGGCAAATACTTTAAAATTGAGCTGATAAACTGAAGTACAGGAAACGACAAATCTGTGGTAGCCTTTGATGCCTTCAAGTTTTTTCCTGTTTCAGCATTTCGAGGTAAAGATGAGGCGGGATGCTGCTGCCCTGCTCACGCGGCGTCCTCAGCAGTCCCTTCAGCCAAGGCCGTTTCTCCAGGTTTGAGGGCGTCCCAGGACGCGGGCGCTTCTTGCGGCGCTGCGCGGAAGAGCAGCTCCCACCGGGACGCGCCGGAG